GGTTCAGTCGCCAGGCAGAAATTAAAAAAAATATTTTGATTTATAATATAATGGAAAACGAAAGAAACCCATCCTTGTAGATCTAGTTCCTCAAATTGGAGAAACTTGTATTATAAGTTGAAGGAATAATTGGAAGTGCCCAAGATAAAAATTCGATTAGAATTTTGCAAGGATGACAAAATATCCAGGAAGGACCCCTCACCATTGTTACCATAAAAAACTGGAGAAGAATGATCTAATATATGTAGATCTGATTGATATTATTTTTGCAAGAATGAGAAAAAAAATCCAGGAAAAATTAAATAAGAATGAACTTGTATTTGCAGAAATTTGCAAGAAGAATCCAGGTAGGATTCCATCAATTGGAAGAACTAGGAAAAATGATATTATACTATCTTGTTGATCTTTAAGAAATCAGATTGTAATCTATCTGTGATCTTTGAGAAATTTCTAGTAAATATTCTACCACCTTTGTCACCAGCAAGAATTGGAGAAGAAAAATATACTTTCAGACCTTGTTAATTTTATATACATCCAAAATACAAGTAAAAATCTAGGAAGGATTTCACCACTAGAACAACTCGAGAACAAAGATCTAATATTTGCAAATCTTCTTTGAAAGAATGCAAGAAAAAATTAAGGAAAAATTCCATGACCAGAAAAAACTGAAGAAAAAAGATCTAATATTTACAAACCTTGTTGATCGTAAGCAAACTAGGAAGAATCCAGGAAGAATTTTACCACCATTTTTACTACTAAAAACTGGAGAAAAAGATCTAATATTTACAGACCTTGTAGATCCTAAATTTTCAAGATAAGAGTAAAGATTCTATCACCTTTGCCATCAGTAAGAACTAAAGAAAAAACATCCAATATTTGCACATCTTACTGCACAATTGCATCAAAATATATATGATAAGTTGGAATAAGAGGAAAATTGCAAAAATGTAAGCAAAATTAGAGACCTGACAGAAAATCAAACCAATTGCATTAAAATTGAGCAGAAATGCAAATGCAAAATTGGAAAATGGTTGAAAAAAATAAACCATTTTTTCAAACCCTTATTACCCTCTTACTAAATTCAACCAAATGCATCATCTCTGTAATTTTTCATGGAATAGTGTTATTTTTTTATGACTGAGGTTGAAAAAAACGAACGGCTATTTTAAATACAATACAATAGAAATAGATATAATAAAGACCTATACATATATTATTAATATTATAATATATCGCATAGTCAGTCCCATAATTTGCAGTCAGGAGAATAAAATGTTCACATTTGAGGTTGATCGATGACTATTATAAGGAAGATACATACTTTATATATATATATATATATATATATATATATACATACATATATATATATATATATATATATATATATATATAATGTTAAAATAAGGGATAAATGTACTTGTGTATGCTTCTGCTTGTTTTTTTCAAAACTCTCGACAAACATTGAAACGAGTTTGTCGATATACATATATAAACACTAAAAAATGTTCAATTACATATCTATAAACATGTATATATATATATATATATATATATATATATATATAAACATATATGTCTATCTACATCATAATTTAATACATTATACTTATTACACTCTAGTAATAAAATGCTGAGCTTACAAACACTTCAACATAATAATTAATTTTAAACTCTACACAATACCCTATAATATATTATAATTAATTGTAATTACTTAATTGGAACACTTTTGAGAGATATCGTATTATTAATTCATATAATAATATTAACTAATTAATTAATAGTTGAACATATTCGGGATACATCATATTTGGTTTCACATTTATATTTCATTCGTCCAAAAATTATAATAATTTATTAAAATTATTTTGGATTTACGCACATAGAGATTCTTAAAATATAATTATTTTTCTTGTTTTTTACAAGAACTAATAATTAACCATGTTAGCCCGTACCTCGCTTTGCGTCGTTTCGTCTTGCATTAGACGTGTATACTCGTCATGGAAAATTAGCAAAATTTTATGTATATTCGCCGTGCGTGTAAATTGGATGAGTTTTGTTGCGTGTTTCTTTTCTAAAGTTAGTTAACTGTGTTTGACGTGTATACTCGTCCTAGAAGTGGTATAATTCTGTGTATTGGCGAGTATATTTGTTGTGTGTGCAAATTAGATACATTTGCGTTATGTGTTTCTTTTTTAAAGTTAATTAACTGCAATGACGCGTATACTCGTCACGAAAAAGTGGCAATATTTTGTGTATTGACGTGTATATTAGTCGTGCGTGCAATTTGGATACATTTGCGTTTAGCGTTTCTTTTATGAAGTAAGGTAACTGCCTTTGACGATTATACTCGTCATAAAGTAGCGATGGAATTTTTTGTTTTATATTCGTCGTGCGTGTAAAATCAGATACATTTGCGTTTCCCGTTTCTTTTCTAAAGTTAGTTAACCAGATTTTTTTACTTCATAAACAAGTTACTGCGATTGACGAGTATACTTGTCATGGAAAAGTGACAGAATTTTGTGTATTGACGTATATATTCGATGTGCATGTAAAATTGATGCATTTTACGTTTCAAATTTATTTTCTAAAGTAAGTTAACTACGATTGACTTGTATACTCGTCTTAGAAAAAAAACAGAATTTTGTGTATCGACGAATATATTCGTCGTGTGTTAAATTAGATACGTTTGCGTTTTGCGTTTCTTTTCTAAAGTTAGTTAGTTGCCATTGAGGTGTATACTCGTCATAAATTGAGGCAAAATTTTGTGTATCGCCGTGCGTGTAAATTAGATATTTGTGTTTCGCGTTTCATTTCTTCAACATTTAACGGCGATTGACGTGTATACTCGTCATGAAGAAGTGACAGAATTTTGTGTATTCACGAGTGTATTCGTTGTGTAATTGTAAATTAGATACATTTGCGTTTTGCGTTACTTTTTTTAAGTTAGTTAACTGCAATTGACGTATATACTCGTCATGAAGAAGTGGCAAAATTTTGTGTATTGACGAGTATATCCGTCGTGTGTATAAATTAGATACATTTTTTCCATAAGCTGTCAACTACGACTGACGTGTATACTCGTCATGGCGAGTAGAAAAATTTTGTGAATCAACGTGCGTGTCGAAAATAGTTCTTCTCTTAACCAGATACGTGTCGTTTCGCGTTTCTTTTTCTTGAGCAGTTAACTGCGTCGACGTGTATATTCGTCATGAAGAAATGACAGAATTGCGGGTATTGGCGAATATATTCGCCGTGCGTGTAAAATATATTTGTTTCGTTGCGTGTTTCTTTTCTGAAGTTAGTTAACTGCGATTGACGTGTATACTCGTCATGGAGAAGTGGTAGAAATGTGTGTATTGACCTGTATCTGTACCAATACCAAACTTAAACTATTTTTTGTTATGAAACTATTTTCCGTAGGCCTATAATATTTTTCGACATTACAAATGCAGATAGAACGTTAGATAAAACTGATATGTAAAAATACTAAAATTTGATAAATTTTGATACTGTTAACGGCTGAAAACTAACCTCCAAATGGCAAAAATATCAATATAACATTATTATTAGTTCAACTTCACGCATGTTTTATTTAAAAATGCAACGCTTCAATTCTTATGAATTTATATACATAGTATTGCTATATAAGATAAAACATGTAACCGAGAATAACTATTACACATATGTATTACACCTATAGTAACATGAATGAAAAAGTGTAATCGAGTCTTTTGTCATAAAAATGTTTATCTTAAGAAAGTCTATGTGCGTATATCCTGAGAAAAAAACATACACAGGGTATCCCAAAATTCAACGTCAAGCCGAAACAGGGTGAAAGGATTGATTGAAACCACCATAAAAAAATTAGAAACAATGATGGGTAATTAAGAACATCCTGGAAATCTGGTGAAAATAGATGTAATTTTGAAAAAAAAAAGAACTTTTTGGTCGAAGGCAATCAAATATTTATTAAACCATAAATATGAAAATAATGGGGCAATTCTGCCGTAGCATAGCTCATAAAATAGCGTTGTCATGGCAACGAGCAAGGAATAATCTTATGATAACAGAATTCTAGATGGTGCAGTTATCATAACATTCATCCTTGCTTGTTTATATGTGAAATATGTCTGATCGCACGCGAAATAGATAGAAATTTTCAAAATATTCAATACCAAGAACAAGCATAAAAGAGCGTTGCCATGACAACTCTGTTACGGCAGAATTGCCCCATAAATCTCTTTTTAAAAATGTGTACTAGTACTTTTGCAAATGTCATACTTGTTAGTTTCAAACAAAAAAATCGAGTAAATAATAAAAATCACCAATAAACCCATTATTGGTGACCCCAACAAACACGTCAGATTCATATCACTCACTTGTGGCAAAAATGCCTCATACATTTCGCTCAGAATTTTGTTCTCGCCCTGAACATTTTAGGTTGATAGAATAAAATAGATTTTGTCCCCTGCTTCGGCCTGACGTTGAATTCTGGGATACCCTGCACATATATGACCCTTATCCATACACGCGACCCCATTCACAATTATTTCTATCGTTTTAACGAAACCTGGAATTTGACATATCAACTTAGCCATATCGTAACATCATTATTACTAAAAGACTCAACAAGTCAAATAATTTCTAATCTTTGGCATTGCCCATTTATTTTGCAATGTCAAAAACTAATCAACAACGATACAACAATATACTTATAAATAACAAATTGAACTATATATTCACAATCATTTCATATCTTTAATTTTAGGAAAACATTTGGAAACGAAAATGATTGATAATGAAAACTGGATGAAATAAAAAACTTTTTTCTACTATGATACGTTTCGTAAGTTATTTTATTCCTCCAGTTTTCATCAGCATTTTTTTAAAAATCGTTTTTAAACGCACGCGCTGGGTATCTCGGCAGCGCTTGTCGTTAAATCGATAAACACAAATAATTATTATTAAATATATTAAAATTTGTTCGAAAGTTAAAAAAAATCTTATATTTGTTTTATATTACTACTTGAAAGAACCAGCTTTAGGAGGTACTTTCGTTTTGGTTTTTGTTCGTAGACGATCAACGCCTGAAGCTACCTGCAGAAACAGACGCAGAAATTAAAATTAATAATAAAATATTCTTCATATATGTATACAAAAAATTAATGAAACTGAGTAAAGCGAGTTATATCGAGGGGCTTCGGAATTTTTGAAATCGGTGTATCGGTTTTTGAGAAAACGTCCGGAAAAGTCAAACTTGTACGTTTCGAGAACCATATGTGTGCCATCACAAACGAAAGAAAAATAAACATATATAAGCTAGTGGGCGCATGGCATCGTGCCTTAAGGCAAATTTAATTTTTTTTAAGTTATTTTTATTGAGAGTCTACAACCGCTGGACCTGCCTTTTCAAAAATTTAGTCAGTTCTTCATCTCGTCAATACAAGTACAATGTTTTTTGAATTATTAAATTTGAACGCTTCGTTCTCTCAAAAACTGAATTGACATTTTTGGCACTTTTTGCCCCGTATCTTCGGAACGCCTAGACCTGCCTTTGCCAAAAACTAATCAGCGCGTCTCCTAATCAATACGAATCGAATGTTTTTTAAATTATTTAAATCGGTTCAGCCGTGTTCCCGAAATCGTTGACGAAAATTTGTATCCGAACACACATACACACACATATACACACACACATACATCCATTTTTTCTAAGGTATGCCAAAATGTTCAGAAGGCTTTGAAACGTAAAGATATATACAAAATTTCATTTTCGATTTTTTTGCGATTACTATAACTTGCCTTACGAGAAGTTAATAAAAAATTAATAAAGCTAAGTAAGACTAGTCTTTATCGAGTTGTACCAAATAATTTTTAACTTAGTTATAGTAATCGCAAAAAAAACAAAAATGAAAATTTTTTATATCTTTACGTTTCAAAGGTTTCTGAACATTTTGGCATACCATAAAAAAATGGATGTATGTGTGTGTGTGTGCGGATACAAATTTTCGTCGACGATTTCGGGAACACCGATCAACCGATTTAAAAAATTCAAAAAATATTCGATTCATATTGATAAGAAAACGCGCTGATTAGTTTTTGGCGAAGGCAGAGCTAGCCGTTCCGAAGATACGGGGCAAAAAGTTCCAGAAACGGTAACTCAGTTTTGAAGAGAACGGAGCGTCCGATTTTAATAATTCAAAGAACATTTTACTTGAGTAGATGGTGTGCAAAAAATGCATTTACAGAAAATTGAGTGATTTTGAAAATTAAAAAAAATCAAAATTTTCAAAAAAAATTCAAAGTTTCAAAAAATTCAAATTTTCGAAATTTTTCATCCTTTAAAAAAAAAAACTAAATTTCGAAAAATTAAAAAAAAAATTTTTTTTACAAAAATTTGAGAATTAAAAAAAATCGAATATTTTCAAAAATTTCCCAATTCTCAAAATATTTAAAAAACGTTTTTTTAGATTCCAAAAAATAAAAAACTTCGAAAAAAATCTAAATTATCAAAAATGTGCGGAAAAGGGTACGGGAAGTTCCAGCAATTTGCCTTAAGGCACGATGCCATGCGACCGACTAGTTGAAATCGATTCAGTCGTTTTCGAGAAAACGTCAAACTTTGAAATTAAACTAAATTGTACGTTTCGAGAACTATATGTGTCCCATCATCCTACTAGCAATATAAACAAAGAGAAATAATAGAGTAAACAAAGACTAAAGTAAAGAAAGAAGGAAAATATAAAAATTCAAGTCCTACTAATAACGTAAAAATATTACTATTTCTCCATCCCACTTACCCGTGTATCCTAATGTGACAACATCAGCAGGCAGACTGCCCCTCCTCCTCTGCTGCTGCTGCTGCGAGCTGCCGCCACTGCCATTACTACTATCGCCCAAAATCGTGTTAACGCTGCCTTTCCTCCTACCGGCTCCGGCGGCAGGAGGCGCAGCCAGGAACCCGCCTGCGGTCTGGGCGACGTTCTCCTGCTCCGGACTTGTGTTGGAGGTCCTTTGGCTGGTCGACTTCTGTCGATGGTGATTGTGACTCGAACTGGCGGACGTTGGTGGTTGCTGGTTGTTGGCGCCGTTTGGGCGCAGCGGCGGCGCCCGGACGCCGGAGTCGGGGGTTGATAAGTCGTCGGCGCGGACCTGGGTAATGGATAGAGTGTATGTTATTAAGGGGCACAACTAGTGTAACCGCATCAAAAACAGGTGATTTTTGGAAATTTATATTAAAAAAAACTGCTTTATCAATCATTTCAAAATTTTAGGAATATATTTATACATGTTTTAAGAATACATAGTAAAATTAAAAAAAAAAAAAATTAAGTATTTTTTAAATTATCGTCGATCTCTAACGGCGCGACAAACAAAGGCCCTTCACTGCTGCAGTGATTCCGGCCAACTACGTAGATGAAATTAAAAAAAAATCTCGTTAAACTAGATAATATTGTCTGTAAAATGAACTACGATGAAGAAAAAAATCAAAAATTGACAAAATGACGGCGCTTTTTTTTTAAAAAAAAAGTCGAATTTTACCTAAAATTTTGGTCATTTTTGGACTGCCAAAATTCGATTTTTGATCCTATCAAAAAATCAATAGTTCATTTTACAGAGAACTATATATGCTGTTTCGAGAAAAACGCGTTTAAAGATTAAACGATCGTTATACTATATACTATATATATACTCTTTAAATGACTGTAACTAAAAAACTATGTAAGATATCGATTTAAAATTTTGGTATGTTATTTTTAAAGGTATAACGTATCGAAATATGAAAAAATTGAAAATTCGATTTTTTGAAAATTTCACACTTGTTGTACCCCTTAACTTCCCGTAGGGTAGTTATAGTAATGGGCCGAATATCGAAAATGAAAATTTTTGCATTTCTCGACGTTTTGAAGGTTTTACAACATTTTGGCATAGCTCAGAAAAATGGATGTGTGTGTGTGTTTTGTATGTCCGCATTTTTACGTCCACGTTTTCGGGCGCACTGATCAACCGATTTGAATGGTTTAAAAAATATTCGATCTCTATTGATAGGGAGATGTGCTGATTAGTTTTTGGCAAAGACAGGTCCAGCCGTTACGGAAATACGAAGCAAAGAGTGCAGAAAATACAAATCGATTTTTGAGAGAACGGAGTATCGGATTTGAATGATCTAAAAAACTATCTGCTTGTATTGACAAAATAATTGCTTTTGAGGATGACAAATTTTTACATCTTTTTTTATTTTTGTAATTTTGGATTAAAAATTCAAAAAATTACCCAGGCTAAGCACAGTCTAAGCGCCACTCCGGTACAAATATTTCCCAAAGTGCATTTAGACTGTTTATGCACTGGAGCACTTTTCCATTTTTGTGAAAACTATTGAAAAATGTGAAAATGCCGCCAAGCTGAGCACAGTATAAGTGAAAATGTCGCACAGAATTATGTGCAAATAAATGCGCTTAGACTGTGACTATACGGGAGCACTTTTTCAATTTTGTGTAAATTAGGCATTTTTTTTGAAATTGAATTCGAAATGAAATGACGATTGTTAATGTTCTGGAGATAAATTGATTTAATTATGATTTACATTTGATTTGCTCAGATATAGCAAGATAGCAACAATAATGAAAGTCACAATATTTGTAATAATATATTTGAAAACGATTAAAATTTCTCGAATATTTCATTACGGTACGGGAAGTTCCAGCAATTTGCTTCAAGGCATGATGTCATACACCACTAGTTTGGTTAATGGATACAGTGCATGTTATCTGTGGATAAGTTGATATAAAATTTTAAGTTTTACCTTAGCAGGAGTTTCGCACGGTACGGAACCCCTTCGTTTATAGTTCGAGCTGATGCTGAGAGAAACTGCTCCGCAATCGCTGCTCGCCCCAGATGTGGGAGCGCTTCGATTTGGAGGCGTGCTCCATTCAGGATCCACATATAAATTAGGATCAACTTCGAAACTCCCTGAAAATTGATAAAAACATTACTAATTTATAATACATAATTAATATTTTTAACTTGCCGCAGAGTAAGTTATTGTAATCGTCCAAAATACTCTTCAAACTATTAATTTTACAAAAAAACGCTTTTGGAATAAATTGTAGGAAATTTTATCTAGTTTAATTCGTGCATATCTACTTTTATCGTAGAATGAGCCGGAAAGGTTATATTTAAAAAAAAAACTGTTTTTGACGCCATTTTTTCAATATGGCAGCGACTTGCTGTAAAAATTTGAGGAAATCTATAAGATAACTAATTTTTAGAATTTCCGGAGTACTGTACCGGTGAAACGACCAAATGACTGGACTAAAAATCGAAATAGAAATTTGTGCATTTATTGACGTTTCAGAAGTTTCTGAACATTTTGGCATACCTTACGATTAGGAAAAATGCAAGTCTGTGTGTGGATACAATTTTTCGTCGACGATTTCGGGCGTACAGAACCACCGATTTGAATGATATAAAAAAAATCGATCCCTATTGATAGAGAGATGTGCTGATTAGTTCTTGGCAAAGGCAGGTCCTGCCGTTACGGAGATACGGAGCAAAGAGTGCAGAAAATACAAATCGAGTTTTTGAGAGAACGGAGCATCCGATTTGAATGATTCAAAATACATTCAATTTGTAATGGTTAGGAGAAGAGGTGATTAGTTTTTGGCAGAGGCAGGTCCCGCCGTTTTGAAGATACAGAGCTGAATGTGCAAAAAATGGCATTTTTTGAGTGAACTAAGCGTCCGATTTGAATGATCTAAAAAACTTTCTGCTTTTATTGACAAAACAATTGTTTTTGAGGATAAAAAATTATCACATCTTTTTTTATTTTCCATAAAATATTTTTGTAATTTTGGATTGAAAATTCAAAAAATTACTCAGGCTAAGCACAGTCTAAGCGCCACTCTGGTACAAATGTTTACCCAAGTGCGTTTAGACTGTTTCTGTACGGGAGCCAAGCTAAGCACAGTATAAGTGAAAATGTCGCACAGAATTATTTGCAAATGCGTTTAGACTGTGACTATACGGAAGCCCGTTTCCAATTTTGTGAAAACTATTGAAAAATGTGAAAATGCCGCCAAGCTAAGCACAGTATAAGTGAAAATGTCGAACAGAATTATTTGCAAATGCGTTTAGACTGTGACTATACGGGAGCATTTCAATTCAATTTTGTGTAAATTAGGCAACAATTTTATTTTGAAATTGAATTCGAAATCGAAAAGACGATTGTTAATGTTATGGAGATAAATTGATTTATGATTTACATTTGATTTGCTCGGATATAACAAGTTAATGCAAAAATAATGAAAGTTACAGTATTTGTAATAATATATTTGAAAACGTTTAAAATTTCTCGAATATTTCATTACGGTACGGGAAGTTCCAGCAATTTGTCTTAAGCCCATGCAGCACTAGTTACTTACTTAATTTAATAATCGCAGCCGGAACCGATCCCCTCCTATGAACAGATCTCAAAATTTCTCCATGTTTCTGCACAGTCGTCAAATTTAAACTCTCATCAGCTGATGGCAGTGTTGGAGCAGGTGCAGAACCCCTCCGCCTGTTGAGAGACCTGTATCTGCTTCCTGCTCCGACTAAAAGCATAGGGTCAACATTTTCTTTCTGCCGGCAACTTCCTGTGGAACTTCTTTGGGAAGTAGAAATACCAGACGACTGATGAGGTGCTGTAGATAATGGAACAAGGCCTGGAGCCTTTAGGGATTCTGAAGACGTTGACGACCTAAAAAATGGTGGAACAAAATTATAAAAAAAGAGTGCGCGTAAGGTTCACACGCGATTGAAGTAAAGCTATTTTGCTATCGTACGAGATGGCATTTAAGTTAAAAATAAATACATCATAAAATAATTTTGAATGATGTTTCTTAGTAATATGATAACACTCGTGATGCACACATTTCATAGTGTCGTCAATTATTATATACATTTATATAATGATAAATTATAAATTATATATTTATGATTGCATTGAAAATATGTATAATATTTACAAACAATAATGTAATCAAAGTCATACTTCAAATATGACATGATCGGTTTAAAGTAATTGCTGATTAATAAATTCTATAATAATCGTTCACACAGTGGATTATGTTAAACAACGCCTAAACAAATATTGTTTTCGCAACTTCACTCATCATGTAACAATTGTGTTTGAAGAACTTCATGTAATTAAAATTAACATACATTCATTTACTGTTTGTATTTTTTTTCCTTTTTCGCTGACGATATAATCTCATTCTTTGAACAGTTGTAATATCTGTCTTGTCTAAAAAATTGAAGCCATACTTTTATATTTGTTTTATTTAATAAGCCCTGCACATAGCTTGATCTATGAATCATTTTCTTTTTTATGTGAATGTTAATGCAATGATCATCATCAATGTTACGAGGTAATAAATTAACCATATTATTAATGTCAACAGGCACATTTATAATTTGGCCAAATATTCCAAATTGTCCATTTGCATGATTCCTTTAACCTTTCAGATACAGTATCTAGTTTAGGTAGATAATTTGGTATAGGTGGAAATACAAACCCGTTAAATTTACAGAAAGTAGGAATTTTACCCGAATTTAATGCCTTTCGACAAGTTTGACATCCAACCTGATTATTTGAATCAATATTCAGAGAACCATTATTAAGAATTTATTTTTGAGCATCATTTGATATTTTTAAGTCGCTTTGAAACCAAAGTCTATCACATACAAAACATACATAGCCAAAGCTATCATTTGTAAATTGTTTTTCAAACAATTTTCGTGCATTCCTAAACAAATTGATGTCTTTATATGGAAGTTCAAATACTTCATTTGACTCTTGCAAAAAATCAGTCCTTGTCACATTATATACAGAATCATCAATTTGCAATTGACGTGATGTAGTTGCTGTATCAGAAAAAGTAACAGCAGTACTTTCATCTAAAACGATAACAAAATATAATGCTTAAATGTGAATAGTTGTAGCGTTTTTGAAAAGTCAAATAGCTTGAAAAAAAGAAAGTTGTTGACATTAACATCTAAACTGATACCTCTGGCTCAAGAATTTCTAATAAATTGGCAGTAACCGATTATTGTTTTGTTTGACGATGTAATCTTGATCTTTCAGAGTTTGTAAGAGGCTTTATACCTGCATCAATATTTATAATTACTATTATAATAAATTAAAATTATTCTTCAAAGTCATCATAAAAAAGAAACATGTAAACTTACATTAAATTTTCAATGAAGAAATATTGTTTCCACAATTTCACTTATCATGTAATTGTGTTTGTAGAACTTCATTATTGACTGCTTGTTTGTTTTGACTATTTCGCTGGTGATACATTTTCATTCTTTGAGCAACGGTTGTATCTGTTTTTTGTAAAAATATTTTCCTTTTTATTAATAACCTCAAAGGTATATAATAACCTCGAAAAACTCAAATAATACAAATTACTTCAATATACATACATCTCTTACGCAGCGCAGATTTTTCATATGTCATTATTTGCGATCAATTGCACTACAATTATTTATGGGGGACGGGATAAAATATTCTTCCGATCCTGACATTTTTATTAACTCACTTATTTAACCTTAAAAAGTTTTGACATAACACCGGAAATTTTAGCAATATGATTCATGCTTTCGGTGACGTATGGTGGACGTAAGCACGTATAAAGCAAGCTTTCGGTGACGCACGCACGTATAAAGTTTAGACTGTGACTATGCGGGAGCACTTTTCCAATTTTGTGAAAACTATTGAATGATAATGTGAAAATGCCGCCAAGCTAAGCACAGTATAAGTGAAAATGTCGCACAGAATTATTTGCAAATGCGTTTAGACTGTGACTATACGGGAGCACTTTTTCAACTTTGTGAAAACTATTGAATGAAAATGTGAAAATGCCGCCAAGCTAAGCACAGTATAAGTGAAAATGTCGCACAGAATTATTTGCAAATGCGTTTAGACTGTGACTATTTACACTTATTTAACCTTAAAAAGTTTTGACATAACACCGGAAATTTTAGCAATATGATTCATGCTTTCGGTGACGTATGATGGACGTATGCACGTATAAAGCACGCTTTCGGTGACGCACGCTCGTATAAAGTCACGCATCAGAATCGACCCGTATAGAAATCATATCATCGAGAGCGAATGACTCTCACGTCACGTTGGCATAACAATTTCCGTTGCATTTGTACGAATGTAAACCCTAGTCGTGCTTAAAAAAATTTTATTCCAAAAATACAAATACTATTATAATCAATTTCTTACCTGCTGGATGCTTCGGGCAGTACATATCGTTCCCGTCCTCCACTCAAATCAGCAGCAGTACTCATATACCTCGCTCTGGTGCTTGCTGCACCAGGTTGCAAAGGTGGAAACGTTTGCTGTCTTATTAAATGCCTGGAACCACCACCAGATGCACCAGATCTGTCCAGAGGGCCATGTTGCAACACACTGCTCAATCGGTCAGCATTCACAGAAGTCATCGAGGCGATTGAAGGTTCTGGTAGCAAGTTTTCTGCTGATAGAGGACGCTCAGATGGACCTGGAGGTATTAAATAGTTAATTTGGTTGTGGATAAATATCATTTTATTTGTTTGTGGGTTTTACCTGATGCGCTGAGACCTCCTACGTGAGACTCTGCACTAGACGTTGATGTTAATAGTGATAACGAGCTGTCCCAATCAGCAACAGATCTGGATAAATAGATAGAACAACATTTAGAATTTAAAATATAACGAATAATATATATATATATATATATATATATATATATACATATCTTCTACATATATATATATATATAAAAATAAGTCGGGTTTTCCTTCCTGACGAAATAACTCCAGAACGCACGAACCGATTTCGACAATTTTGCATTCATTGGAAAGGTCTCGGGCTCCGCAAAGTTTATAGCTAAGAAAATTTGTGGTGCATGGCATCGTGCCCTAATGCATATTGCTGGAACTTCACGCATCGTAATTAAAAATTCGAGTATTAAAAATAATCAATAATTGTTTTAAATAATTGCAAATAGATTATCTTTTATATATATAAAAATAAGTCGGGTTTTCTTTCCTGATCAAATTTTTCCTCTTCGAATATAAAACAAACAAAAAATTTCTTCATCCTACTCACGAAACCATCTGGTGGCGAAACGGAGTTCGTCGGGTTTGCTAGTATATATATATATATACCTATATATATATATATATATATATATATAAATATATATATACTAGATGACCCGACAGACGTTGTCCTGTACCCACGTCTACGTTTTTTTAATATCCTATACTAATATTTATACCGTTCAGTTAAAAATAATCATTATTGGTTTTCGAATTACTATTTACACCAATATATGAGTGATGTTATTAAGTGTAGAAATGCTTCAAATAAAATGATGATTCTCAATTCCCACAGTTAACACTTTAATTATCCCTTTAACAAATATTAAAATATGTACAATAAAATTGTATATTAAAAATTATACACTGCAAATTTATTTTCAATGGCTCAATTTATTTTAATGCCAAGGGTTACAAAATTTTTCAGTCATACCTGTAGATGTGGATGTATAAATAAATGATTTTTTGTTCATTCACGACTAAAACATTGATTTTCCAAATGTATCACACAAAAAATCATCGTCTGCCTTTGTGATTTATGGCCATTGCATAAAATACACGTGTTGAAAATTGAAGTCTTTTAAAAGGCATAACAAATTCAGAAAAAAATAATATATAGCATTCGCGGTATAGGTACAATATCATCTTGAATTTTTCTACCCAAAATAATTGCTTCAATAATGTTGCCTATAATTTTTATAATTACGTACCATATTTTAACTGGCTTTTAGTAATTTACGATCTAAATTTTTTTTTTTATTATATTAAAGTTTATATTTGAAGTGAATTAATTTATCAAATCCTGTTCACATGTGCTCTATTCAACCTACGATCAATAAAATTATTGCAGTAAATGGAGAGGAAAAACGCATGTGTTGGAAATAGACTAATCTTTATCTTAAGTTCAGAAGTGGAAACAATTTGCTCTTCGTCACCACCTACCAGATCAATGGATTTATAACTCTTAATTCTGATTTTATCAGTACTTGCAATACACTATTTTAAAGGTAATTAAATGAGCTACAACTTTCTCTATCATAAATTTTACCGTAACTTCTCTTATTTTGAAATGGCAAAGGATTGAAGGACTCGAAAGACACTCTGGTTGGACACTATCATTATTTGTGTAACAGAAAAATAATAGAAAGCAATAATTGGTCAGTAAAAGACCTTGAATTTTCATTTATATACCTTTATACGTATCTTTTATTGATTTAAATAATTTTTTTTTCATGAAATTATGAGCTTTTTGGAAAGCGTTTGGAGCACTAAATTTATTGTATTTTCTAGAATTCGTCAAGATCTCTTAAACCAAGTTGATTCTAGAGGGAATACGATTATTTTTAATTTTGGTGGAAATGGCACTCAAAAACTATTTGATTCAAATGGAAAAAAACATTGTATGCGTCTTTTATCTGCATGATAGCTCACTCATTTTACACGCAGAAGTACTCATTTTAAAGCTTATTTTGAGTACTATAAAACCTCATTTTCATATCAAGCCTAATATTGTTCCTAGAACAATTTATAGAATACCGATTTATTGGGATTTTAATTGATATAATTTTGTTCATTGCATGATTTTCGTTTAAATGTATATTTTTAGAAATATTTGCAAAAAACGATAAAAAATGCAAAAAAAAACAAATTTTCAGTAGCCAGTAACTTGAAAAGTAATTTCTTTTTTGAAAAACATTATTAAACATTTTTCTCTTCTAATTAGTTCTTTTATCGATATCCGACGTTATTTTGAAAGAGATACAATTGCACCACTGAAAAGGGATGTCATCCCGCCGGGAAGTGGCAAATGATTCTAAATAATTTTTACTTTCAAACTTGAGAATAAGATAAACCCAATTCCAAAATTTCATGCAAATTTGCAAATATTTCGTATCCAATGCTAAACATATGAATTTTTGACACAATTAAACTTCTAAATAATTGTTTGAATAAGTAAATTATTTTTGTATCGTGATTTAGTAAGTAAGGCAAAACACGACTGCATTTAAAAGTTAAAAAATAATAATCTGTTAAATTGAATTATAGGCTAAGTTTGATGTGTAATAACTGCGTAGACTGCATCACCTGTTGGACGCATGTTGACTGTAAATCTTATATTATTTCAATTTTGGCACATCTCAGCTGCTTTTGGGCAATGATAATGTAGACATTACATTTTTCTTATTCATAATCATAAATATATTATATTTAATATTGTCTTAGCCTATAAGTGAATAGAAATGTTTGGCAAATGTCTTCTTTTGTTTTTAATGTCAAACTATGCCTTAAACATTTTCAAGGGCAAACAATGATAAGCGGTTTTTTGTATTTTTTTCTTTTTTTTACTACAATCTAACTATATTTCTGTAAATCTAAAAATTCTAGAAAATTTACCGAACAAACTTCAGGAAGATTCATGAAAATCCGAATTATGATTTAGGAGGATTAATCATTCATACATAGTTACAGAAGAATTTTATATATAAGATATATATATATTTATTACCTTGGCACAATATGTTCTGCCGGCAAGCTTTCCCTTCGTTTACCACCTGCACTGAGTGATGAAGTCGAAGCTGGTGGTTGAGTCACTATACTAATTGGCACCGAATATCTGAAATTAATTTATACAATAATAATCCTGATCCAAATAAGATTCTTTTTCTATTATTTATCCCTTACCTACGACCATCAGCTTGGACTCGAATTGTAGGAGACAACTTCAACGTTGGCAATTCAGGAAGCAAATTTTCCTCGCTACCCCTATCATCGACTTCAGCATCTTCTTCATAGTCTTCTTGCTCCTGTGTTTGTGTATGTACTTGTAACAATTGTTGGGGATGTGATGATCTCCTTTCTTGTTCTAGTCGAATTTGCTGATTGTCTGTCATCGAACGAAGGGATAATCTGTGCTGAGTCGTTGCCTTTGTTGGAGGCTGAGGGGAAGTGTCGATTTCTAATTCGGTATCGACATCTATCACCTGAAGATAAAAAATATTTATTGAAGTAAAACTTCTTTAGGCGCGATATGGGTGTAAAAATTTCTTTAGGCTACACGGGTGTAAATCCGTACAAATGCAACGAAAACGCCAACGTGAAGTTGAACACTACGACGCCGTAAGCGCTGATGTCGCGAGTATCCACTCCCGTCATGTCATGCGTAAGTCGAGCGCTAAACCCTATATGAACTTGCATTAATTGAATCACGTTTTTTATGTTATGTCCTCATGGAATAAGACTTTTCTTAGAGAATAATGTGTCATGAAATATAATAAATTTATACTGAATCTCGTTGAAGACAAAATAATATCTACTGCCACGGATATTTATGTAGGTTGCCATGCGACAGATCAACAATCATACATTCGTCAGCAGTTTCACAAAAATCGGTTATTGATACCGGGGCTTTGCCGTATGAAATAATTTTAGTTCTGAATAAATTTTTACATAATAACAACTAATATTGATGTAAGTGATGGCTTAGCTAATGGTTGTGTAGGAAAATTAGTGTACATAGAACGTGGCGATAATGATGAACTTCTACGTTTATGGTTTGAATTTCCTGGTAAGATAGGTAACAAAATAAGAAGAAAGCTGCACATCATATTCAAACTCTTAATATCAGTAGGACAGCTGTGCCGATTCTCAGGAAATCTTCATCTATCCAATGAATAGAAATAAAATCATATTTGTCAAAAGAAATCATTTTCCTTTAGTGTCTGCTTGTGCACTCACAATACACAAATCACAAGGTGGTACTTTTGATAAAATTGTATATGAATACAATAAAACACTATCAGCAGCTTCTATATGTTGCATTATCACGAGTTACCAGCATTAATGGATTGTTCATCATTCTAACAACGACAAAAAAATTATAATGGAAGAAAACGGCCAGCAGGATTAATGGACTTAAAAACTGATTCCAAAGACTTCAAACTTGTAGATTAATAACACAAGAAGAAAAATTGAGTGAGATATAAGTTTGAACGACATTTCATTGTTTCCCTTAAACTGCAAAGTTTACGAGCTCTTTGCCTGATCTGCAAGATAAAGTGCTACAACGTTGTACGTTTTTGTTATTTCGGAAACTTGGATTATAATGAAGAACGAATTAATATTCAGAACTATTACTGCGTTACTCAATACAAACGATCAACTCAAGAGCAGGTGTGTAGCTGTCTAATGTCTATCATTCATGTTCAGATACTGTTCATAATGCCACTCCTATGCAGTTTCTTGCGCCAACGATATTACTGGATATTCCTAATGAAATTACACAAGTAGGTGATATTACACACACAGAATCAAACATTAATTATAGTCGTCCTTTAAATTTCTCCCAATAAAAACATATCAAATATTATTGAATTTCTTCATCAGCAGTTACTTCATTTTTCTAATGAGGGTGCAAAACTTTTAAACACTAATCACAACGAGATACCATTAATTCTTGCTGGAGATTTCAATGTCAATTTTCGTTCAGAAGAATCTCAACCATTAATTGATTTTTTAAATAATAATTTAATTTAACATGAATAATTCTCCATTTGATTCAACCACAAGATATGGCTCGACTATTGATGCAGTTTCTCCAGAAATGTACATAGTTTACAAAGCAAAATTTATGTCTCTCATTTTAGTTATCACAAACCTATTATATCATATATGAAATATGATAGCAATTAATCTATCGTTGTTGTTTTAAACTGTGTTATTGATGTTATGTGATTATTAATAAATGATTTTTAAAATTCAAATATGATGTTTTTTTATTTTTATCTTAATTGCCTACTCATACAATATTAAAAGTTTACTTCAATCGCGTGTGATCCTTACGCGCACTCTTTTTATT